CCCCATCCTGGTTAAGAGTTTAAAGGAAAGAGCAGCAACCTTACAGTGAGTAATTTGTCAGGAACGGGTAAGCAGACATTACAGGTGTTGTACAAATGGCAAGTCAAAAGGTGTATGTGACTGACAAGGGAAGCTGAAGGAATTAATGAAAGGCTCCACAGCCTTACAGGTAGCGGCATGCATGGGGCCACTTCAAGAGGCACAGAAGAAAGTCAGGAACAGCAGAGCACAAATATCATCTGCCTTCATCGTCTACTTCAGATTGCTTTTCTGTTTTGGGACCAGTGCTCTTATGGAAAAGTATTGATGCACAGGCACCTTCCACAGCCACCATGGTTACTTTCGGCCTTCCCCGAACTGGGATAGCTCCACAGTCGCAGGGTGTGAAGAGGGGGAGTGGCTGATAAGCCTCTGGCCCTGATTTCCACAATACTGACTCAGAGTGGACCAGCTGCCTCCGAGGCTGTCATCGCCACCACACCACTGCTGACATGCCAGGAAAGATGCAACCAATGTGACTCCGCAGATCGGCAGATCAGCAGGCGAGCAGGGATTAGCAGGTCCGTGGCAGGCGCGTTCGGAGTCGGCTGGGGACCGGGGACGCTGTCACGAGGCACGTGGGCGATGTGCGGCACGGTGCTGTGCCCCTCCTGGCAGCCATCACACCTCCTTCTTCTCTGCTGGGAGCCACGCTGGCGGGGGCGCAGCCGTATGCAGCAGCATGAGGCCACAGAGCGTCACGGCGAAGCCGACCCACCACAGAGGTGTCCACGTCTCCCCGAAGAGAAGCTTGCCCAGGATGGCCTGAAGGAAAAGACAGAGTCAAAGCTTTGCTGGGATGAGCTGCTCTAAAGCCTCCTGCTCTGCCAGAGCTGCAACGACTTCTGCTGGGAGAGCTGGCCCTGGAAAAAACCTGCTTGAGGAAACGCCTGCTGGGAACATCAACAGAAACGGCTGCTGCGGGTGATGCTGGAGATGACCTACTCTACCATCTAGCCTGGAAGCCATATTGTGGTCCCAAAGCAGAAGTTTGGCAGATGCGCGTGTGCTTTGCTGCCTTCCCAGCACCTCTCAGGAGCCACATCTCCAGTCGACTGGGCAACTCCAGTTGATAAAAAAACGCGCCTCACTGACTTGAGTTTTGGACACCACCATGAGCTAACTGCAAGTTGGAGCACAGAAACAAGACGGACAGCTGCTGAGAGTGAAAAGTGAGCAGAAAAACCCTGTGGGTCAAAAATGCTCTTGCTGTCACTACAGGCAGTGCATCTTCACACGCAGCTCGGGTAGCTTTGGCTTGTCACAGGTGAAGTGTTGCAAAGGAAAAGCAAAACTAAGCAAAGTTCCCAGCTCCATCTCTCACTGGCAATTAGAAAAGTTCAGCAAACCTCACAGCTGCTGCAAGGCACTGCGCTGGGCAGCAGCACCCTTCCTCCTACACCAACCACACAAGTCCTACAGCCTCTGCCATGAACAAGTGTCAGAGCAGCAGAGGCCCGATACAATTTCACATCTGCCTGCAACTCTCCCTTTGCTGCCAGCGATGCCGGTCATGCTGGGAGATGAGCTACGACCCGTTGCATCCAGTGTGACCATTCCCGCATCGCTGTGCTTCTCCAGGCGTCAGCACCTGGGGAAGGGATCTACTCACTGAAGAGATGAAGTTGGAGGCTGTTGTCGTCACAGAGGCAGCGGCTGAGGAGAAGGAGAGTCGCAGGGCTTTCGCAAAGACCGTCCACATCACCGCATTGCACGCAAACACCAAGCCAATACAGCCGATGCGAAGCAGCACAGGCAGCTGTAGGATGAAAGGGGAAAAAACCATGTATTTTCACCGACCGCTCATTCACCCTCACTACATCATGGGCACTTTAGAGCAAAACCTAACAGTGTGTGCTGGTTATACAGGAAGACGAATATATTAAATCACAGAAGGAAACGGAAGTGAGGAAACAGCCCTGGACAGAGCATGACCCTGGCACATCCTGCCATGAGCCCAGCCTCAGACTACCAGCAGAGAAGTGCTGGCACAGCGTACGGCAGGTGCCATGCCTAGAAGCCAAGCTCCAGAAAGCTCTCCAGCTCACGACGTGGTGCACATGCGATGCAGTGAAATGCCCTTCGCTCATTGCGAGATGTATGGAAAAGGGTGAAATTCAGCCCTACCAGAGACAAACACCAAAGATGTACGTGCTGGTGCTGCGTGTGGTCCAGGACCCATCTGTTGTGAATATCGGCTGAGACCAGTGCGGTCCCAAACCACCAGTCCTCACCACCTCCCATGACCTAGCCTGTCTTACTGCTGCAGTGAGGGCAGAGCAGGGTCCTCTGGGAGGAAAGACAGAGCTGAGGGCCTTCGTGCCATATTTTGCACACTTGCTGCAGAGCAGATTTACGGAGTGAGAGCTCTCTGCTCCTGCATTTAGCAGCAGCAAAACCACCTCTGAATTCAAGGACTTTCAAGGCCACCTAGGTTGGAATACCTCCCTCCTTAGCCAACCTGATAAGACATGTAACAGCCTCAGCCTGGAAAAAGGGCACAGTTTTACCTAAAAAGCCCTCGCCATTCACGGTCTCCTCCCACACCCATAGTTTTAGCTGCTGTGGCAATCTCCCTACCCCCTGGGTGTCAGGTACTTGATGTGAAGATACCAAGTGAGGAAATCACAGGCAGATCACGACTCTTGCAAACACTCAGGGAGCACACGAGGGCGAGGGAAAGCAAGGCTTTGTCTACACCCATAGCGATCATGCCTTCACAGCCTGTCACCTCTCTCAGGCCACGGTGGGATCCATCTTGCAGCAGACAGAAATGTAGGTGTGAAGCCACCAACACACGCAGCTGAGAGGTGGCACATGCTGCACGGGAATGGATGCACTGTGGGCCCTTGCCAGCCACCCAAATCAATGGGGGCCACCAACCGTGCTCTGCTCCCACTCAGAAGAAATTACTAACCGCAGGCTAGGGGAGGCCGCAGGGATTTCTGAAGCGATGTAGCAAGTACAAGGTTAAAAGGAAAAGACCATAAAGCAAATCCCTGGTCGACGCCTGGCGTGAGCTCTCGGAGGCTAACCCCATCCCAGACAGGGACAGTTACAGTGTTTGGCCTCATTTTGCCCCACTTGTGGCAAAGGTCTCCAAACTTTACCAGGGCAACGGCAAATGATCCAAAACGATTCCCACCAGTGAAGGACTTTGCTTCCCCACTGCTGCCCTGGCAAACCATGCCCAGCTGCTACCGGTCCTCTGAGGAAGAAACGTTCTGCTGTGTTACGGCTCACTGTGGGATGGGGTTTGCCTCCTGGCTTCACCCTCTGCCTGTGTAAGCAGATGGTTTTACCATGCCCAGGGCACTTACGACCATCCGCACGCACCTGCACTGGGTAGGCAGATTTGGGAGTAAAGAGATGAGGGGGGGAAACAATTCTCTGTGGTTCACCTCAGTTCAGTGTATTTCCAGATCAGAAAGAGCCTACCAAGGCACACTGCTGGAGAAAAAACACCTTAAGAAAAAGAGATCTTTCTACTGCCTTCAACATCTGCCCAAGGCTCCAGATAGGACGGAGCCCAGACTCCTCTCCCAGGTGCATTGGGATATGACAAGAGGCAGCAAGTGAAGATTGGAATGAGTGAAATTTTGATCGAATACAAGGAAAAACAAAGGTGATCAAACCCTGGAACAGAGGTCATGGGCTCTCCAACCTCAGAGGTATTCAAAACTTGACTGGAAGAGGTCATGAGCACCCTGTTGCAGAGCAGGGGTTGCACTAGAGACCTCCAGAGGTCCTGCCTGACTCGAATTAGTCTGTGGGTCTACCAGTGGTGGAGCAAAGCTGTTTTCCACCATCAAAGCAATTATGCAATCTTCAACAGTGACCCTGAACCCACGGGTTCCTTTTCCGATCTTCTGTTGCAGAGCCAGGGAAATCAGCCGCAGCGTGCTCTGCAGGTGGCATATGCCCAGCAGGAAGGTTTTCCTGAGAGAGGTCGAGTCCCTCTGCATCCCAGGCAGAGGAGTGGTCATCGCAATGGCATGCAGGCAGAGATACAGCTAGGTTCCCAGGTGTTCCCCACAAGGAAGGAGGGAGGTATAAATTCCTCCCCTGCCAATGGCTCAGCCGAGCCAACCCAATGAGTCAAGGATTACTGTTCTGATTGCTTTTCTAAGAGGAGATTAATTTCAGTGTACATTTCAGATAATCCAGAATCAGTCCTGAAGTGGCAGAGGTAATTTCAGATGAAGTTTGACAGGGGAGAGGGGAAAGTAAATGAAAACTTTTGTTCAAGTGAAATGACCCCTTCTGGTCACACCACTCTCAGGCTGGGCCATCACCACACATCCTCCTGGCTGGGAAATACGTCTTTGTGCTGCAGTTGAGTATCCTGCTACCCTACGTCAGAATCTCTTAGAAGCGTCAATACACTTTTAACATTTGCTGCTGCTTTGGACACTGTGCAAGTGGTGGCTTCTCTCTTCGTTTTAGATTTCTGTAGCTCTTCCTCAAACACAAAACTCCTTGAGAACAATATTATTATTAAACTTTTTTGTTCTGCAATTATCAGGAGAAAAAATAAAGGTAGATGGAGTGGTGGGAGGTAGGGAATTACCCGTTTCGCTTCCCCTTCCGGTGGTATTGGGAGGAAAAACGGCTTGGGGAAAGTTTGTCGTCTCCCCTGAAACACCTGTGTCTTTGCTGGGATGGGATTTGTTGTAAGAATTTGGCACTTGTATCTCTTTAACTCGAACTGGTATCCAACTAATATTAATTGGCATGCCTTTAATCAAAACATCAGAAAATAAAAAGGAGGAGAAAAAGATCCCGGAATAACTCTCTGATATTCCTCATGAATTATGGAGCACTTCTGGAGATGAAGTAGGACTGTTAAGATAGCTGAACCTTTGGTAATCCAAAAAAAAGGAGGGACACCTCCTTCTAGTCAACAATATCCAATAGTTTCAGAAGCAATTCCTAGCATTGGTAAGCAAATTGATAAATTCTTAAAAGACAGAATTCTAAAAGAATGTAGAAGCCCTTATAATACCCCAGTTCTACCGGTAAGTAAAAACAGGTTGGACAATGACAGAGACCCTGAATATAGGTTTATTCAAGATCTAGAAGCAGTTAATGAGCATGTTATTGCACCCCATCCAGTTGTTCCAGACCCGAGTTTGATATTAACTCAAATACCACCTTGGGGCCAGTATTACACTGTGCTTGATTTAACAGGAGCCTTTTTTAGCATACCAATAGCAGAACAAAGTCAACATATTTTTGCCTTTAC